ATCCTTTGCTTCATTCCATTTCCATTCAACATCTTTACGATTAGAGGATTTAAGAAAGTTGAGACATTAATACCCATTGTTGTGACATTAATACCCATTGTTGTGAGTCAATTGTGTTGGGTTAATCTCCCCAAATCACATATTAGTAGTATTATTGTTTTATTGTATTGTAAAAGAAAATGAAAAAATGATGAAAAAGAAAAAGAAAACAAGGATGAAAAGTGGTGTGCAATGTTACCTTGGCCTCCAAGGTGAAATTATTAGGTGTTAAGCTAGGCAAATAGGCCTTGACTTTTTGGTACTAGCATTAATGTAGTTAGTTGAAAAGACTTGAGTTGTCACCCGAACTGCTTTACCAAGCGGCCTATGTAATTGGCAATTGACGTATGTGCACAACAAGAAGTGAAGAAAACTTGGAGTGAAAAGAAGTACTAGTGTGACTGTAATAGTGTTGAAGAATACACAAACACAAGTGTGAGAGGGAGTAATTGGTGTGAGTTAAACACAATATTAGTGGGAAGGTGTTTAGGATTATTTAGTGGAAGTACCATTGTGAAGGATACTAAGTAGCACTTTATCCTAAACACATATTTTCTAATATTGTAGTTGTAGTCGTATCCTTTGTACTCTCAAAAATATTATAGTAACGTTTCGTCCATTGAAATCGGGACCGTGGTTTTTTCCTAGTTCAAGAGGGTTTTCCACGTAAAAATATTGTGTCTTATTTTGCTTTATTTTTGTACTTTATTTTCATCCCGTCAATAATATTTTTACCTGTTACTCGATTCTAAACAAATTGTGACTGTAAGAGTTTGTGACATATAACTTTATATGGTTGATTGTGACCGTAAGAGTTTGTAACATATAACTTTATATGGTCGATTGTGACTGTAAGAGTTTCGACATCATAGTACCTGCAGCTTATGGAACTCTAGTTGTTTATGTTTATTTATTTTCTAATTGTTCACGATTGTAATTCTATACCTGCATGGTGGGTGTTCCAAATTTCAACACAAAAGTAAGGATAGAATAATTCTTACTCTCCATCTCCTCTCCTCTTCTAATACATTGTTGGCTCTAGTCTGCAAAACCGAAGGAAAATTCTTGAAAAATATATTAGTTCAATTTAAAATCCGCAAAATACAAGTTGATCTTCTTTCAATTTGTTTTGTCAATCAACAGGGCAATATAGTCTTTTCCATCATTAAACCTGTGGCATTTGTATAATACCATTAATGATGATTGGGCATATATGCCACATCTAACAGCCTACGTGTTGCGCATAACAAATTGTCGTTTTTTGCCGTGATGTCCTCATCAAACATGCTCATCAATGCACCTCATCAATGCATCTTCACATCAATGCACCTACTTCCCTTTTAAGTATTTAATTATTTTGTTTTTTAAATCCATTTATTGATAGTACCCAAATTGTGAACTCAAATTCAGATTTTGATATGTATTATCCATTAGTCATGAACAAGTTGTAATTGATTTTGCTATGTTTTATTTAAGCCAAATTGTATAATAATGATATAAACTTAATTAGTTACAAATATTATCCATTAGTCATTATTAAAATAATTGATTTGTCATTATAAAAAATCCCATATTAGAATCTACTTCAATAATCCATCCATTTCAATGATCCGTAATAAACAGATAAGAGAATACTCCATAAATATGATTATAAAAAAAATGATGTTATTCAATGATCCGTAATTTCAAATGAAACAACAATCCTTATGTAGATAACAAAATCAAAAATGAACTTTAGTTTGTATTCGACTTACCCAACACTCTGATTGATTACATACCAAAATCAGTCACATCAAGCTTCGTTGCGAAATCACTTGCCAGAACAATGGATAAGAAGTGTGGTTTTTTTAATTTCCAACACCAAAAAAGATGAACAACATATGTGGATACAAATAGGACAAATCAATGACAAATACAGCATAACGGATTCCCCAACACTCTTAACGTCCGTTAAATGAGGGCACTCCTACTCAGCGGCTGACTCACTGCCATCATTCATGGCCTCTCTTATGTGAACGATTACTGTTCACGTTATTTACAAAAGAGTCATTTTGATTGACAAGTTAAATTGATCAACAAGATCAATGGGGGCCTCCTCTTTAAAATCTATGAATAAGATAGATTCGAATGGATAAGGTGGTTATACAACATGTATTATATACGGGTATAGTCGTATAGAATATAAATACCATGTTACCCAACTACAATAGTTGGGTAGCCATTATATTTCAAAGTCATGAATATAAATACCATGTTGATTGATAAACAAAGATTGTATGTGAAAATTAGGTGATGGCAAGGTCATCAAGTATTAATTACTATTATTTTTTTAATACGGTAAGATACGGGGGTCTCCCACCCTGTCACAGGAATGGGGGATGAGGATTGAACCCCCAACCATTTGGGGGGGAGATGGAGGGACTAACCATCCCTCCACTTCCTATGTCCTCGTCATCAAGTATTAAACAGGTGTGGATACCTTGGTGAATGATGGACAATGGCACAAAGATTATTGCATAAGATTTTGTGTAAGTCATGGGTGATATGTAAGGATGAGAATGAAATTATTATATTTATACTTGTGGATTGCTAAACACCGTCATAAAAAATAATCACCACTACCAACATTTGGTGTAAATGGACAAACATGCCCTTACTATTTCACCACCCCTTATCCTCCCTGGCCCGACATCCCACCACCCCTTCTGATCGGCGATAACCACCACCACCCTGATCGGCGACCCACCACCTTCCCTCAGGAAGGTGGTAGTTTTTTTTTTATTTTTGGCAATCGCGGTAACCGAAGCCCAAAACCAGGGTAACCAGAGCCCGAAACTAATATGCGAGAATGGGAATGAAAATTACTTTTAATAATCCAACATTTGCCCGATTCTCTCAAAATACACCACCCTTTTGAATATTCCAGATTAAACCAACCTTTACCCCCTATCTTCCCATACTGCACCAGGTTGGTAAGGAACCGACTACGAAAGTTAACCCTTTATTCTTCACCCCTCTTGACCTTTACACGGTTCATTTCCCTCCCAAATTTAATATCCCTCCTAAAGCCCGAACTACTTATGGCTCCATCACCATCACCATTAATGTTTGAGCTTGCCGACCTCACTCTCCATCAAAATTTCCTGAGCTCCCCCTTATTTACTCAATCACGTAGGTCTCTCTCCTCCATTTACAACACTCAATTGCTTCACCTAAATTTGTACTTGGTGAAATTAGTGAGGACTTTTCACAATGAGGGAGTGGTGGTCCTGCATCCAAAGTGTACGCTTGGAGGTATGTGCCCTAAACCCAAAAATTATGCTCTTTTTTGGTAAATTATATGTGTGCTGGTCGAATTGTCTATTTTTGGTGTGTAATTGCATTGAATTTGCAGATATTTGGGGTTAAGTTGCGAAATTAAAGTGTTAATGTTGTCTGCATTTTTTTTTTTTGTTTTGGTGGGTGTAATATGTAAATTAAATTGTTGAAATGTTGGAATGAAATTTGTTTTTGTGTGATAATTGGCTGAAATTTGCTTGCTTTATTGGTGAAATTGGGTAGATGGAAGACCCTTTTGCTGTTATAACTCTGAAATACTAGTTTGGTGGGACTTTTAAGACTATTGCAAATGGGGATTGGTTTATTTAGATGGAAAAGGAAAGACCTTTATCATTGACCCTGATTTGTTGTGTTGTTGGTGGTTAGAAGATTTTGCATAGAAGTGTGATGATATTGAAAACATAGAATGGCAATATAGGTGTATTGAAGTGTATGTGTTTAGTGGTGTTCAAATGCCAAACTTATATCCCTCACCACAACCAGTCCATCAAACACATTTTCAACCTTTGGAAAGTCAATTTTCGACCAAAGAAACTGTAAATAAGAAGGGGCCCGCCTTATACTTTATTGAAAACACATGCATCCAACCAGAAAGATGTTTCTGGTACTTTTTCCACAGTCACACAACAACAAAAAACAATCCATCCTAGCCCTAAAAGAAAACCAAAAAAAAAAAAAAAAAAAAGAACCATAAAAGTACTCACCTCACCACTAAATCCTACTTCCCAACATACTTCCCAACACCTTGTTCCTTTCACTTCCATGAACACATAAATAACCCCAACCCTAAATCTAAGTCAATTAGATCCACAAAACCAGGCTGAAGATGATAATGTCTGGCTAGATAACAGACCAGAGAGTCCATTGGACTGGCATACACTGTTGAACTACATTGACAGTAGTAGGGAGTCAGATCCACTATATAACCCAGACACTGAAAAGGGAAAAGGGACTCTTGTGGAGGGTGGTGATGGGGATGACTGTGATAGGAGCTTAGATCCAGATGAGGAAATAGAAGGAGATGAATATGATGATGAGGGTGGAGAAGAACAGTGCACTACTAGAAATAGGTCGATTTTCGACGGACTGTTTTCGACGGACAAGAATTTCCGTCAAAAAAGTTAGAAATTCCGACGAAATTTTATTTCGTAGGAAATCCGTCGGAACATTCAATTTCCGACGGAAAATATATCCGTTGGAAGTTTTCGACGAATTATTCCGTCGGAACATTAAATTTCCGGCAGAAATAAAATCCGTCGAAAATTTTCGACGGAATATTCCGTCGGAAATTTACCTTTCCGACGGATTTTATGCATTTCCGACGGAATTATGACTATTAAAAAATAAAAAATAAAAAAATAACTGTATATAAAAAAACCGGAAAAATCAGATTTTCTCTCTCTCTTCTTTTTCTTTTTCTCTTTCTTCTTTTTCTCTTTCCTCCTCTTTGTTCCTCGATTTCTTATTCTCTTTCCTCCTCTCTTTTTCTCTTTCTTCTTTTTCTCTTTCTCTTCTCTTTCTCTTTTCTTTCTCTTTCCTCTTCTTTCCTCATCTCTGTTCGTTTTCTTGCTTTCCCCCTTTCTCTGCTCCACTTCTTTTCCCCCTTTCTCTGTTCATCTTCGTCCTTTCCCCCTTTTGTTCTCTCGTCATTTCCGACGCCACCCACCAATTACAACTACGGCGTAACAACCACCGTCAACAACAACAGCCACCGTCAACAACCACAACCAGCGTTGACCAACATCAACACCAACAACAACACCGCAACAACAACGGCACCACCCACCCTCGAGGTTTTTGTAAAGATCTAGTTTTAATTTAGGTTACATTGTAGATCTAGTTAATTTTTTATGGTATTGTAATGTTAATTATAAATTTGATTGGATAACTGTATATTTATATATTTCCTTTAATTTTTGTTGTTTAACGTTTTTTTTAATTTTTTTATGAAATTCGGTTAAAATTTGTAGATCTACTAGTTTTGATATTTTTGTGCGGTATTTTTCGATTTTATTGAGTTAATTTTCGTATTTTTGGGCTCATTTATGTTTTTCTGGGGTTAATTTTTTATTTTTTGTGGTTAAATTTTGGTGAGGTGGTGTCGGTGGTGGTCTGTGAAGGTGGGATAGGGACTGGTGTGGTGGTTTCGATGGTGGTTGTTGGTGAATCAAGGTTAGGGGCTGGTGTGGGTGGTTTTTGTGGTGGTGGTTGGTGAATCTAGGTTAGGGTTCAGTGGTGGTAGGTGGTGTGTAAGGGTTAAGGAGAAGGGTTAGGGTTCGGTGGTGGTGGGTGGTTGGTAAGGGTTAAGGAGAAGGGTTAGGGTTCGGTGGTGGTAGCTAAGGGTAGTGGTGGATGGGTAAGGGGTAGGTACGACGGTGGGTGGATGATGGTGGTTGGGGCTAGAAGGGGTGGTGCCTGGTTTTTTTTTTTTTTGCAAGAGTTTCTGACGGAATTTCCGTCTGACATATTTGAATTTCATCGGAAATTTCCGACGAACTTTCCGGTACCGGAAAAACCTCTTCAGACGAAAAAATTGTGTCGGAAAACACTGTTCCGACGAATAAGGCCATTTTTCCTACAAAGGGTCTTCCGACAACACGTTCCGACGGAATTTCCGTCGGAACAGTGTTTTTCGATGGAATTTTTCCGTCGGAAATGGCCTATTTTCTAGTATTGGTGGAATTAGGTGTTGAATGAAGATGATTATGATGGTATGTATCAGATGTAGAGGATGATGAGTTTCAGACTGCAAAGGAGAGGGTGAAGAGTTGTACTGACAAGCCCTTGCAGATAGCAGAACAACTACAACAAGAGGCAGCAGAAGGAAGGCTTGTGAGTCAGCAAACTAAGACTATGACAAAGGGTGGAAGTAAGTCTATCAATGGGGGTTATGAGAGCGAATGTGATGGAAGTGAGGATGATCTGATTAGTCCACCTGAATGTGGTGATGATAATGGTAAAGAAGAGAGAAGGAAAAGGTCTGGGATTCTTGTGAGTGCTAACACTGATTTCAACGTGTTCAATTGGAAAGTAGGGCAAAGGCTATCTTCTAGGGAAGATTTTAGAGATGGAGTTGTTAAATATGTAATTCTTCAAGGTAGAAATCTGTTTTTTGAGATGGAGTTGTTAGGTGTGTGGAGGGTTGTAATTTTTATCTGTATGCTAGCTGGGATTCAATTCAAGGAGAGCTACATTTGTGGTGAGAAGAGTTGAAAGTGAACATACCTGTCACAGAAACATGAAAAAAAAATAGGCAGTTGAAGTCAAGTTGGGTGGCTAAACATACAGTTTCTTGAGGTGTTTAAGAATAGACCTCACTAGCCAGCAAAAGAAATTGTTGAGATTGTGAGGAGGGCTTTTAAATGTTGTGGTTAAGAGATCATTTGCTTACAAGGTGAAATATGCATCCCATAAGTTGCTGCATGGGTCCATGTATGAACACTATAGGAAGCTAGGTGGGTACATAGCTGCTTTGAAGGCAACAAGTCTAGGAAGTTGTGTTGAACTTGTGACTGTGACAAGCTTGACAAAACAGCCACATGATCTAGTCTTTCAAAGACTGTTTACTTGCTTTGAGGGGTTACAAATAGGCTGGAAAGCTGGTTGTAGAAAGGTAATATGTGTTGATGGTTGTTTCTTGAAGACATTTCTTGGTGGCCAACTTCTGACTGCTGTTGGCAGAGATGGAAACGATCAAATGTATCCCATAGGATGGGCAGAGAATACATTCTCCTAGGAGTGGTTCTTCCAGATTTGTGGAGATGCCTTGAGCTAGGAAAAGGTGAAGGTATCTGCATCATTTCAGATGAGCACATGGTAAGTTTATGGTTGTCATTGTGATTTCTTATGATTTATTTATTTTATTTTTTTGCCTTTATTTGTCTTAAAAATAGATAGTAATTGTGGTTTGTGTTTGTTGTACACAATTAGGCTATTTTGAATGGAGTTAAGATTGTACTCCTTAAAGCAGATCACATGCACTATGCTAGGAATATGTTTGCTCATTGGCACAAACACACATAAGGGAGATGAGTTGAAGTTGCAGTTTTGGAAAATTGCTAAGTCATACAACAGGACAGATTATAATGAGGGGTTAGAACAGTTGGAGAAGATATATGCAAATGCAGCTGCTGCATTTAAGAGTTACACTCTTGCGTTATTTTGCAGAGCTTTCCTTGACACACCAGTCAAGTGTAATGCCATTATAAGCAATATGACAGAGACCTTCAATTCAATGGTTACATCATCGAACAAAGCACTTGATCTACATGCTTGAAGAGATCAGATTTGCCCTAATGCAAAGGTTTGTTGTCAAAAGAAAGGGGGGTGGGGATTTCTTTTAAAAAGAACTAAAATTTAAAAAAAAAAAAAAAAAAAGAAACGGTCACTGCCACGTAGGACAAGCAACTGGTTGAACCGGATAAGTTACCTGCTAGGTGCAATATGGGAAGATGGGGGGTAAAGGTTGGTTTAATCTGGAATAATCAAAAGATCAATATATTTTGGGAGAAACGGACAAAGGTTGGATTATTAAAAGTAATTTTTCCTATAATAAATTAATTTTATTTATAGTTTGTGCAAGAAAATATCAAATGTTAAATTAAAAAGGCATAACAATAGGTCAAGCTTCGCAAAAACAAGGGGTAAGAAAAAATATGGTTTAAAAAAAATAAAATGGGTACCGGCCAAATTTTTGGAACCGACTCAAATTTGGTTGGAATTTTAAATCGACTAAAATTGTAAACCGACTCAAATATAGGCCTGAGCACGGATCGAATATCCGATCCAAAACTGATTTCGATCCAAAACTGGATTTCAGATCGGTTATCTGTCTCCGAAAATCCGGGATATTTGATATCCATATCTAATCCGAAAATGTCGGATATCCGAAATTTTCGGATCGGATAAGTTAGATATCCTATATTCGACTTCTGTAATTGCGGGGTTTTTTTAATGGCTAAACGATTCAATTTCTTCAGTGTAACTTTATTTGATTGCCCAGCTACCATCTCTTCCTTGTTTTCAGCCAACTAAAAATACCAAATTAAACACAATTTTCAAAATCACAAACTAATACAAAAATTGAAGAACACCTCAATTTTATAAATTATAATTAGGAAAATACCTTAGGAGAAACATGCAATGAAGTTAAATGCACAACATTTCCATTCAAATCAACCTCATTCACAATGAAATCCGAATACCTAAAAATAAAAAACCGAATTTAGGCAAAATCAACGCAATATTATTGAAACTGAAAAAATTTGGAACTAAGCAATGATTTTTTGACGATAATACCTTTGCTTGAGAATGCCCCGTAAACCAGGAAGGTGAGAGATGTAGCAGAGGATTCCGACATCAGGTTCATCGATACTCTTCTGTGGAGCATTGATAATGTCGGCTTGTGAATCGCCTGTGAGATTATCGACGGCGGTGGAGCAGTCAGCAGTCATCGTTGTTAGATCTTCTCCAATCTTGCCCCCGCAGCCCGCAGGTGGAAGAGTGAGGGAGGTCGCGGATGGTGGAGGAGTGATGCTGTGAGTTTCAACGACGGACGACGGTGGAGGAGTGAGAAGAGGGAGATCTGTGAGGTCAGATGAGATAGGCGAGAGAAAATAGAGGAGAAACTAGGGTTATAATATGAAAATATTTTAAAATGTTAAAAAAAAATGTTTCTTTGGATAGGATACCGATCCGATATCCGACTTCGAAATCAAAATTTTCGATATCTGATATCCGAAATTTTTGAATAGGTTATCCTAAATTTTCGAATCGAATACGAATTGAATTTTGAATTTTTGGATTATCAGATAGTCTTTCTCAGCCCTACTCAAATATTGTAAACCGACTAAAATTAAGGGAACCAGCCTTTCCTCCAAAAAAAAATAAAATAAAAATTAGGGAACCAGTCAAACCGGTTCGTAAACTTTAGAATATAGACTTTGAATCGCCGGGTACTACTCGATTCTGTGTACCCGGTTATATTTAAGTTTATTTATTTTCCAATCAGCATCATTTTGAATTTCTTCTACATCCACAATATACCCTCAGACAATCTCGTCCGCCATTAGAGCCACCATAATCACACACCAGAAATCTCCTTTTCTTTCAAGTTAGGGTTTTTCAATCTCCCTCTTTCAAGTACAATCGATTATCTTAAACTCTTCCGAATTAATTTTTTATCTTCCCTAGGGTTTCTTATTGCAATTTCCAATCATATTATAAACCTAAATTTCAATTACGTATAAAATTCAATGGGAAAGAACGAATTTCTAACTCCGAAAGCAATCGCAAATCGAATCAAAGCGAAAGGTCTCCAGAAACTTCGATGGTATTGTCAAATGTGTCAAAAACAATGCCGAGACGAGAACGGGTTCAAGTGTCATTGTATGAGCGAGTCTCATCAGAGACAAATGCAGATTTTTGGGCAAAACCCGGATCGTATCGTAGATGGGTATTCGGAGGAATTCGAAAGTACGTTTCTTGATCATATGAAAAGGAGTCATAGGTTTAGTAGGATTGCTGCTACTGTTGCTTATAATGAGTATATAGCTGATAGACATCATGTTCATATGAATTCTACTAAGTGGTTGAGTTTGACTGAGTTTGTTAAGCATTTGGGTAGGACGGGGAAGTGTAAGGTAGATGAGACTCCCAAAGGGTGGTTCATTACTTATATTGATAGAGATTCCGAGACTCTTTTTAAGGATAGGATGAAGAATAAGCGGATTAAGGCGGATTTGGCGGAGGATGAGAAGAAGGAGAGGGAGATCATGAAGCAGATTGAGCGGGCGGAACAGTTGATGCCTATTGCGGAAAATGAGGGTGAGGGTGAGGATGAGGATGAGGAGAGGGCGGAGGAGAAGGAATTGCCAGGTGGGAAAGTAGCATTTGCACTTGGAGGTGGGTTGTCGAAACCCGGGGGTGTAGGAGGGTCTGGGAAGGAGAGAGGGGAGGGGCCGAGGGTTGTGTTTGAGGATGTTGTGGAAGGGGAGAAAGCGAAAAAGAGAACTAAATATGGTGATGGTAATGCAGCTGTTAAGTCTGCTTTGGAGGATATGATCAAGGAGGATGAGAAGGTTAAGGAACGTCATAATAGGAAGGATTATTGGCTGTGTGAGGGAATAGTTGTAAAGGTTATGAGCCAGAAATTGGCAGAAAAAGGGTATTATAAGAAGAAGGGGGTTGTCAAGAAGGTTATTGAGAAATATGTAGGTGAAATTGAGATGCTTGACACCAAACATGTGCTTAGAGTGGATCAAGCAGAGCTTGAGACTGTAATTCCACAGATTGGCGGTTTGGTGAAGATAGTTAACGGGGCTTATCGAGGAATGAATGCTAGGTTGCTCTCCATTAATACTGACAAATATTGTGCCAAGGTCCAGATAGAGAAGGGTCTATATGATGGAAGAGTTCTTCAAGCTGTGGATTATGAAGACATCTGCAAACTCGCTTAGTCAAGGACAGATTGTGCCAAATACTAGCATATCAAAGTTTTTTCAGAATTTGGCCAGCCATCTCATCTTTGTAATGTATTGCTGAATTTGCTGGTTGATTTTTATCTTACTCTTGATTTTATCACATTAGCAAATGTATTTTTCTTTGCAGCATATATGAAACAATCCCTTTTTGCTTATTATATTCTCAGTATTTGTTCTTCAAAGGTGAAATTTGTTATAAATGGTGTTTCGTATATGTATCTTTTGTCAGAACTTATAGTGTGCGCCATTTGCTGTGGATTTTACTGTAATCTGTCACAAGTGTGTTTCTGGTGTAGTATGTCTAAGCTGTGATTCCCATTTTTAGTTTCACCGGTTACTATTTGTATGTTTTGTCTCAAGGAATTGCTCTCTTGTGATAGGAGATACTCTGCTTTTAGTTTTCTTCTTATACTTCTATGAGTTCTGTTAGCGGTTATGATCACTATAAATTCTTGGATAGAGTTGTTATAAAGGCATGTGTGATTATTTTTCATTTATTTCATTTGAAGGTGTATGACTGTTTGAAACTAGTTTGGCACCTGCACCCTGTTATATATGATGCCTTTTTTTTCCTTGTTCTCATATCCCCTTTGACCCAGTTCTGATATATAGTATTACTGCTTGTCATGTTAAAAACACTAAACTTTTTATTATACACATAGTATATGCTGTTATATGTTTGAAGTATTCAGTTAATGCCTCAACTGTAAATGATTTTCTGTGCTAGTGTGCTGTATTAAGTCAAGATGTACAGTTCTTGCCTATAGCTTGTTTGTGCTGCCACCATTTGCACCATGTGGCTAGGCACGTGGGAACATTACTTACATATTCATATTGTTTATGCTTATTTATAGGATATTGAAATATGGTTTCAATCGAGAAGAGAGGAGTGTTGTGTATTGAGAATGGGCTCCTGCTGCTCAGTAAGTTTGTTACAGGTTTAAACAAACTTAAATTTGGTTCAAAGCTGAGATTTTTGGTTTTGCTAAAGATTTTTTGCTAGCTTGGGATATGGAGGAGTGAATAGCAACACTTGAATATTAGAGTTAGAGAGAGATAAGGAAGTAGGAAGAGACTCTCTCAAATTTGCATAATTATAAAAAAAAAAACATGTGAGATTTGAGAGGAAAAAAGGAGTGAAATGGGAGAACAAGTAAGTTGAGGCTTGTAATATCAAAGCCATAAAGAAAGTGTCCTAGAGAAAGAGGAATGCAGATATATTAGGGGAAAGAGGAATGACCAACAATAAGGGGAGAAAAAATGTTAGGGTGAAAAAGCGAGAGTAAAGATATGCCATGCAGAGAGGAGGGGGCAAAAGTCCTTAATAGAGTGTAATTGAGGTAAAGATAGCACTTTCACTGGTCCATAGTCTCCATACCTCACATTGGAAGATTGGAGTGTCGAGTATTACATGGATTTGAAACGAGGAAGGTAGTATATATGGGGGTAAGAGGGGTAAATAGTAACTCTTGAAGATTACAATTAGAGCGCGCCAAGGAAAGTAGGAGGCTTTCTCAAATTAATCGAGAGGAAAAAAGGAGTAAAATGGGTGAACAAGTAGGCTAAGGCTTACTTAAAATATTAAAGCAGAATTGATCTTCGTAGTTGTCTACTGCCCACTAAAAGCACACTGAAAGCAGAATGCGGACAATTTATTTTGAAGAACCTCTTAATTCAGGTGTGATACACTCAATTCAACGGCAAACAAGTGTCTTTCTGTCTTTACCTTTTGCAACAGTGCATATTAGTTTAATTTTTATGAGTTACATAGATTTCATTTCAATGCAGGAGTCTAAAACTATGATGATATATTCTTATTGATGAATAAGTGTATAACTTAAACTAACATTTTGGTACTCTTAATCTTACAATGAAAGCGGGTTGCAAATTGGTTTATTATTGCACGTGTATGTCTTTGGAACCCAATGGTAGAGGAAATGTACAAGGAAGATTTTGGAGAACTATTGATTTTTTAATTCTTCACTAGAAAACACGCCCATATTAGCTTGGGTAAAGTCTTGGGGATCTTAAGACGGGAGAGGATATGCTGGAAAGCTCAACATCAATATTCCACGATGCTCATGATTCAAAGAGCAATGTCAACAAAGGTATTGAGGCTCTTGGAAATAATGATAGTCTTGGGATTTACAGTAATTTTAGGATTCTTTCCTTTCCTGACCCAAACGGTGGAGGGCATGGACATCCACATTTCATCTGAAAACTGCATGGAATTGTGTAAATCAATAATTTACTGTTTGATTTCTCTCAGGTTTATTATGTATATGTAATAAGAATATAGATGTTGGCTTGGATAAAATAGCATGTGTTTGTACAAGATAGGGATCATCATGTAAATTTTTGTTTTTGACATTTTGGTAAAATAAAACAGCAAATTATAAGTGTAAAAAATTTTGAGTATACAAATATAGTTACTCTTTACTTTTATATTCTTGTAACATTGATTATAAACATTGATTTAGAAAACAATTTTCCATTTTTAGATATTGCAGTATCTGTAACACACATAGTGGACGGGGAAGAGTAGTGGAGCACAGTCATGCCAAGCACAAAAATTTCTCCAAATTGCACTTCGAGAATGCCAATAGTCTTCTAAATCTCATTAGTGTTGGTTAAGTGAAGATCTCTATATTATGAAATATACGAGTATCATCTGTAGTAGAAGTTGCTTTACAGGACTAAAAAAATTGCAGAATTATACAGTATCGAGTAGCAAGATAAATTTATCTAAGAGACATTCTCTTCATTTGAAACAGAAGACTCTAGCTCAGCTCTAGATTCAACGGGCACTGGTGGAACTTCGGTGGTGGAGGTTTGAGACTCAGTTGCAGAGGAGGTATCACTTTGGCTAGACTCAGTGGTTGAGGAACTTTCACTTGGGCTAGGTGCAGAAACTTCAATGGTTTCCGTGGGCTTAAACTTGTTTACATAGTAGCTTAGTGATGGTCCAGAATAGACTGTTGTTTGCATTTGGGGCGCATTTTCACCAACCTGAAGCAGGATTGATGAGGCACCTGCAACAATGAATAGGCCAAGAAACGCTGCAATAGCTGATGGTGTTCTCTGCACCATCGGAAGAAGAACCTGCAGTTCCTGAGCTGATAGCGCTTTCTGCCACATATACCACGGGCTGCAGAATATTATCAATGTTAGATTTTTAGCTAAAACGGTAAGCAAGATCTGGACCATGAGTTGCTGAATGTTCATGGAAGCAGATTGAAGTCCAAAGAGCTTTAAGCAAAAAAAGCTGCCATATTCTATGAACAAAATTTAGAAGCGGCTTATGCATTCGTGTAAAACCTTAAAAATCCTCCATTATTTATGATCAGACAAGTTTTACCCGTTCTGTACTAGAGCTTTTTTTTTTGACAAAGTGGAAAAGGAGGCTATTCTCCAATCGAGTCGACACCACAACTAATACAATGAAAGTTAGCCATTTAGGCTTGTATCTTCTTAACAAATCATAGAGTGGGGAGTACAGGAGGGAAAAAAAAAAAAAAAAAAAAAAATAAAAAAAAAAAAAAATAATAAAAAACTGAAAAACTGGATGGTAATTGGTCAATATGATTCCCAAATAAATAGAAAAATTATACAAAGTAGGATGTTAAGTGATTCCAAATTACTTTTTGTCAATTTAGCTCTGAGATAGAGGGAATAGTTTTCAAGAGAAGCAATGCAACTTTCAGGAAAAAAGATGTATTCTGAAAATGGAAACCTGGTACATGTTTCACAATATGTATTTGAAATTTCGCATTGACTAGGGAAGACAGCCATAGTACATCTGTACTATCCATGACTTAATTCTGTTAGAACAATCAGGATGAATTGGCATGCATTTATCACTTGGAAACGGATGCATACTGGTCGAAGAGCAGCCTGATTCAAAGGTGAATCTATTTCTATGAAATATAATCAGTTTTTGGAGATGTGAATGAGTATAATGATTAAATTACCAGCTACAAGTTCTATGCAAGAAAGAGAGCACAATGTAGCTCAAAACCACATACCTCAACTGAATAGATATTCGTCTGGCCAGCCGTGTCTTTCTCTGTGTACCCGGTCCAACCCTTTTTCCGAAGTGGAAATGTTCCCACCACCTGGGTCTTCTCTTCAGCCAACCATTCCACACTAACCTTTCCTACCTGGTCATAAAGTAGCCAAGAAAATGATTTGTCACAATATAATGACAGTTTATTTACAAAGCTTCAGCACAAATATAAGGGAGAAAGAAAGCAAGAAAAACAAATGGTGCTCACTGAGCATGGGAAAGAGGCAGAAATCATTAAAACTCGATAAGGCAAAGAGTTAAATCGATAATGATCCTGAACAAAACCTACTAAATCAGTATAGAGATTACACAATCGGAATTGATCATTACAGTTAAAATACCAAAACATCAAACAATAGTCCTGTGAAGCAGGTTGTTGCAGAAATTCAACTGCATTGCAAAGAACTCAAATGGAGATCATAAGCATGAAATCCCCAGAATTTTAATTTTTTTTTTTTCTTTATCCGGCATAAGTTAAGCACACCCGAGTATATAATGGATATTGCAGCATCTATGACATTGAATACTAAACACAGAATTTAAGATTGCAATGAACTAAACCACTCATTTTTTATCCATAAACACCACCTTGTTTTTTTAACAGAAAAACCCCATTTTATTCAACAATGTTAATAATCCAAAAGCCTCCATAACTAAGATAAAAGGCAAAATTAAGATATACCTATCATACATAAATCCAGGATTCAATAAAGGGTATTAAAAAGAGAAAGAAAGAAAGAGAAACCTCTTTATCAGGGGCGCATTCTTCGGCATTGCAATCATCACTTCATCAGACTCATTGGAAGAAGCTCGAATTTTGAATTTGGAAACATTAATTCGCCCAATTTTCTTACTTAATTGATTATTCTTGAATGTAAATGAGCTTGTATTTGTTGCAACTGATATTACTGACCGCGAAACACAAGCCATTGCTTACCCCCTCTTGCTGGAGGAGAGAGAAGGAGAGAAAAAAGGGTAATATTCGGACACCACAAATACTCAGCTCGAATTTAGAATTGAAATTTTTTATCAATTTATCTGAAGAAAGATGATTTTGGTGTTTTTGGCGAATTAATGAAGTTCTGAGGTACCTGTTTGTGTTGTTGTAGCTGGAATGTGAGTGGCTTTTATTTGTGATGATAGACG